TCTCTCTCTCTCTCTCTCTCTCTCTCTCTCTCTCTCTCTCTCTCTAAACTAATTAAAAAGATATTCCGATCTGGAAGAATTAAAAAGTTGATTTTTATTGCATATTTTAAAATTATCATATTCTAAAAATATGTTCTTAATGTGACATGTCTAATAAAGAACATTCGCGAAATGTCCTTTCTTTGAAATTCTTCCAACTTCGGTATACTAATTTCTAAATAGAAACAACATTTTGAATTAGTCTCTGATAGGAAGTACTTTTTCTGGTATATTAACACGAGGTACGGGATATACCAAATAATATAAATATAGTGATTTGATTGGAGATACAATTTATGATGTTATCGTTGAGTGCAAAGTTTCCAATACATACAGATATACAGAGTATCTGACTCGTACTGTACCAGGGCTAATATATAGCTAGAATAGGTCGGGGCGAGTAATGAAATCAGTGTCTCTTTTTGAACAACCACGTAAAGTTTTGAGATATTAATGATAAAAGATTTCTACGAAGTGGCAGCCCATTGCCCAATAAGCATGCGCGGTGAGACGAACACTTTATACGCTCTCGCATAGGCATGAGAGGCTAGCCGTGCCAGCGAGGAAAACGCGTTGCTAGGAGGTTGTGCCGGCTAGCCTTTCATATCCATGCAAGAACGCATAAAGCGTTCGTCTCACCGCAGCGCGCGTACTGATTGGCCAGTGGGCTGCCGCTCCGTAGAAATCTTTTATCGTTAATATCTGTATATTGATAGACATCCTGTATATATTGGCACGAGTTATCCAGCGTCGCAAACGCTTGGCGTACCGCCAACACGGGACATCGCCATATACATTTTATAAGCATAAATCGTTAGAATATCGTTAGAATCGTTAGAATTACCGCGTGCTGCTCGATCAAGTTAAACAATGCTTTAACGTGATCAGAACATAAATTGGTATCAGTCAATTGCCAGCTTAAAAGAGATGAGCCGATATGTAATACATTTTTATTACGTAAGTTCTGACAATCGAAAACTTCCTAATTTGACGGTACTATCTTCTCTTCTGTTTTTGACGACACATATATACTTTGTAATTATACATATAAACTATTGTAATTATGTAGGGTTTTATTTCAACGCGTACCGTCAATCTTTAACGATACATGCTTAAAAGTATACAAATGATCACATATAATATACAAATTCAAGATAAAATATGAATGAGTGATCATGTATACAATTATGCGGTAAAATATGTGATAAAAAAAGTGATGATTATAATGTTTATTATGTAGAGTAAAAGCACCAAAAGTGACATACCACTTTGTTTTTAGACGTTATGTCTTAATATAAAGCTCAAAATATAAATGTAAATATATATATGTAGTTGGAAGTACCTCCTATCAGATAATATCACATTTTTACTGAAATTGTTTCAAGATTTAAAACAAAAAATGTTTCCGTAAAATGTACGAAAATGGAGTTCAAAGAAAATAGGTGCCAAAAGCGACATACTTATTGGAATTTATATAACATGTTGCATATATGATAATATTTGATAATAGTTCATTAATGGTTGAATAATATTCAACCATTAATGATAATAAATAATTGACAATAAATAGTTCATTAATGGTTGAATAAATAGTTAATTAATAAATAGTTCATTAATGGTTGAATAATATTCATTTATTCAAAATATAATGTTACAAAAAAGAAATATAATTAAATAAATACATAACTTTTTTCATCTTTTTCATTTTCTCACATGTTTTTACATATGTTATATTTTTAAACTAAACAAAATTAAACTTTAAAATAAACAAATGTCACGTCACAATGGGAGCTTAATAATCAAGAGATATTAGTCACAGAGTATCGCACCTATCGCATACTGTAGGTATGTCATTTTAAGACACATTCTCATAAAATATTTCAAGTTATACAGTAAAAAAGTGATAAGGGTAATAATATTTAAAAAATATTTTTACAAAAGCCAAATGCATGTAGAATAACTTAATATTGAACAAAATGATAATTATCGCTATTTACATAATTCATCAATAAAAATCATAGAAGTAAAACTTACGAATTTCAAAAACTCTATATTTGCTAATTTAGCATATAAAGGAACAAGAAATATACCAAGTATGAATTTTTTATGACTTAATTGATAAAACAGATTACGTTTATATTAGTTTCGATAAAATACAACATTTAATATTTGAGATATAGAGGTATGTCGCTTTAGGCAAAAATAATTTAAGAATTATAGGCAAAAATAATTTAACATTATTAACATATAAATTCCGCCAACAATTTTTTGTAATATATATTCCGCATATTTACAGGGAAAACCGGGGCATAATAGGAATTCCAAGGTTTAACCCTTTTACTGCTAGTAGAAAATGTACTTCCCACTTATATTTTTTCATTCTTATTTTATAAAATTTGTAATTTCGCAAAACTATTCATGATTTTGAGAATTTTTGATATATAAATACTTTCTTTATATGTTCCTCAAAATTCTTGTACCCAATTGTTTATTTACAATTATTTATAACATATTGGAAT